AATAGCTCTTAATGTTGTTTCTTTTACAGGTTAGTGGACCATAATGTTTATCTAATACTAATTACCTAAGTGAGTTGTGTATTTGCAAACCATTTCATTGGTTATGTTGTATTTATAATTAAACTTTCTTTTACAGAGCAACAACATAAGTATCTTGTTTCATTATCCAACCTATTACAAATATATTAGTGGATACTACTAACAAGTCAGAATGTCCTAAGACGTTGCATTTTCTTACCAAAATAAGCAAAATAAAAAGGATACGTAAAGGGACTTTTCTTTATAATGAGTGTTACTTGAATCCTGCATTCTGCTTATTAAATTCCGAGGTCTGTGCTTAATTAAATAGACTAAAAGTCTAGACGTAATAAAAGCTATTTAGTTCAGTGTACATTTTAAACCGAATCATATTATTACTAGACACCTAATTTTCGTTTTGTGCGAACTTGGGCCCTAACGTTAGCAGGCTTAATTAAAATTTGCTATTTTAATATTATTGTTGAAGATTGTGTTACTTTTTTACGTAGTATACACAATATGTGTGTATAATATTAAGGCTTTGATTGCCAACAAAAAACTGTTAAAGGCAAATACTCCACTAACGTCGGTCTCCGGTGACTGCAATGGCGTTTAACGTGTTAAAAACATAAGGAATTATCTGAAAGTAATAAAAGGTGATGTTTATAGTCTTATCAGTTGCATGTCTAGACATATTTTTTTCCAAAGTTGAGTTATTGTATTGCAATCCTTACTAATTACGATTCAAACATTCGTTCTAGAAAGCCTAACCCTTTTTTTAAGGGGGGAAAATCATCTAATGACTGCTCCCGCCTGGGTGAGGCGGGAGGGAGTGTCAGACTCTTACTGACTAAAAACCACCCCGTTCCTTCTTCAGCACGTCGAGTCGGAGCCCCGGTTACCCGTTAGGTTCTCCGCAACTAAAGCCTAAACCTAGAATGACAAACTTAGAGGTATTATAAAAAAAAATCAGAGAGACTACCAAAAAAAAACCGAACCTTTATAAGTTCATATTATGCATACGACTATTACACTAACAATACTGACTCAATATACTGACCACAATCACTCTTCAATTCAAAAAACCAAAAACAAAAAGGTCTAAACACAATCCAACAAAACCACATTAGCACAAAAACCTTACAGCTTACACAATCAGCTTAACAATACACCAATTAGGTTTAAAACAGAAACGCGTCATAAATTTAATATGAACCAGCGTTGTATTTCATAGATGGAAAAACCTCATACTATGGGAAATTGGAAATAAATTCCTTTAAGCTTTCAATTACCTCAATCGGGAATATCGAGTTTCCGGAGACATAAATTTAAATCCATATAGGTGTAACTTTAGACGTCTGTGTGTTACGTGCTTCGATGTAGCTTGTGTTATTTGTTATGTTGCATTCATTCTGTGTGTAATTAAATTGAACATAGGTATAGTTTATGAGGAATTTGTTGAATAAGAGGCACAATTTCTTTTTTCTAAGATATATTGTGCCTGTGTTAATGCATTTTGTCACCATCACTACTTACTCTTCTTCCTACCGATTAGGGTGCAAAACAGACCCGAGCGTAGGGCGCATCGCGACCCGCGCGCGCCTGAAAGAGCCATCAAATCTCCACAAGTGCGGCCCAATAGGGCGGATACCGGTACGGAGCCGTGGTGGACTTAAGGGGTTGCTGGGGCTCCAGCTCAAAGTGCAGGAGTAGGAACGGTGAGGTTTTTAGTCAGTAAGAGTCTGATATTCCCTCTCGCCTCACCCGGGTAGAAGAAGTCATTGGATGATGTCTGCCCTCAAAAATGGGCGCTAAACAGCAGGACTGGGCACTTTCTGATACTTATAACTGAACCTTTAATGATGTGGTTTCTTACTTGCCTACTAAACGTGGAAATCATAAGACCTGTCTTTCACAGAGAAGCCAGTAAATAATTAAAAAGTAAATTAGTATATTGGTAAATTCTATGACACTTATAAATAGTTGTGTGGACTTCCAATCGACGGCTCCATAAGCTAAGTGCCAAGTTATTTTGAGTCCGTTTTATAGCCTGGCAATAAAAATATCATAACATTTGACAGCT